AAGAACAGATGTAGTGATTGGTTGTAGGTGGAATGAAAGAGACAAGACTCAATATGATGTTGAAGCAAAAATTAGCATCTGATTTACTGGAGAAAGTGGAAGAATTATATGTTGAGCAACTAGTCCAGTGGCAGGACTATTGCATTAATGGTTATCAAATTAAAAATAAAATATATAAACAAATTGTATTTAAACAAAATGAAGTTAAAATAAACTAAACTTAAAAGTAAATTGGGAACTAATATTGATGAATAAGTAAAAGGAAAGGTGTGTTCAGGATCGTTGGGTTGAAACATAAAGAAGACAAAATATCTGTTTGAAGGTGCCAAAACTGCATTTGCAATTCACCTTCTCCTTATATGTGACCAATTAAAAAATTGGATCACAAGACTCTAGAACTATCTCTGCTCTGTATGGTAGTCTTAGAACAGTTCTATATAGACAAGGTAAATAATATGCAGTTCAACTATCCCAGAAAATTGTAATAAACTTAAAATAAGACCCAAAACTCGAGCGCTTTCGAATAGTTGACTCCTGAAGAATAGTCAGCTATTCGAAAGTGCTCGAGTTTTGGGTCTTATTATCAGTTCATTACACTATATATGTGATCCTTTGTGCTAACTCTTTTATCAAGCCAGAAAATTGTAGATAGTTTTAATGACTGGACCCTGCTAAAGAAAGTAACACCAAGGGCTGAATTGGCACAGGAACTTAATCGGATCCAGAATATTCAAAATTAAGCTTCAGAAAAAAATTGAAGTTTTGTAAATATGAAACTTATACAAAAGGAGCATAAGATATATGACACTGGCACCTGAGTGCTTTAGTTGATCCGGCAACACCTTCTCTTCCTCTGACTCTTCTCTAGCATCTGGATTTCACATGTCTTGCTAAATGTCAAATATCCACCTGTATTTCCTCTAGCAACACGTCGCTATGGGAATGATATCTACTGTCAAGGCCACATAAATGCAAAGATCTTGTTGGTAATTGGCATTAACATCTCTTCACTAAAAGGCTTTCTGTCTGATCCAGGGTGCATCCTGCACGGAATATGGCAGTGTCCATACTGATAGAAGGTAGATAAGACCAGGTTGGCAAACATTGTACACTCTAGCAAATTCCAAAGTGGCTTCGGCAACATAAACTGTTAAATCACACAAAAGGTCCCAGTACACTTGCAATTGCTTACCCTTATTTAGGGACTTTCTACTTTTCCTTATTGACTCATCTCAGATGATGGAAAGAACATAAAGCTCTTGAATGCCTGTCAAAGAGATGAGGAGCATTTAGCTTTCAACAGAGGACTTTTATTGAATGGCATCTCACAAGGAGAACAACAGAAAGTAGTTTGGATTAATCAAGGAAACAAATAAATTAACACTCTCAAAACAACTAAATTATTTTCACATCACAACAATTTTGCCTAAGTTAAAGTAACCTGCGGTATTCTAAGGATAAACCTTGAATGCAATGGCCTAATCCTTGAAAGTACTAGAGATTCGTAAACTTAGTATACTGTATGACAGATGAAGTGACTTGTTGTAGCTGGAATGAAAACAAGAGTTGGTTTAAAACTGAAACAAAATGAATAGTAAAAGATGCAGAAAACTAAGACAAGACTTCCACAACATAACGAAACAGTTGAAGGCTGAAAAATGAGTATGGATTGGGTTTTTGGCATGGAGCAGAGGAGAATAAACATTTTAGTTCTGGCAGTATTAGTTATTATCTCGTTCTTAGGCAACTAAATCCATCAAACTACGAGCTGTAGCATCATATGTCATATCATGGCATGTAAAAGCATGTTGTACACATAGACAAACTAAACACATACTAAACTTTGGTATACCAGTTGGATCCGAAAATCAAAGGTTGATAGAATCGATGTGTCAGAGCAAAATTAAGAAAGCTTGTCATATGATCTTGACCAGGCTGATACCACTTGATTATTTGTTGGGCCAACTAGACACGTGATCAGGGGCCCCAGAAAAAAATCAAACTGTGTTCTTTGTTCACATTTCTTGCATAAATGGCTTTACGTAATACCTTCTTCAAATTATAGTTTTACTTTGTAATTAAGCTTGCTTATTTTCATTAAATTTAGAAGATTTTTTCATTTTATAAAAAAACTTATTTCATCCTTTCTTGGTGAAATTTTTAATTTGAGAATTCAGGAAAAAGAGGACCTAGTGCAATGCACGTTGATGAGATAGACTGCATATAGTGTTTTTTTAACCAGTTTGATCATACTGATTTCCACATAGAGGAGTTTTGTTATTAATATGATCATTGATATAATATATATGGTGGGGAGTCACGTTTGGTTAATCCAGTACTGCCAACTGATGAACAGAAAAATGTTGTAAACGGCTATGTTGCTGATCATGAGAAGACAAACGAAATTTATCTTATTGTTGAATAGCTCAACTCTTCAGAAGATTGGACATAGTGTAAACATTTACCTCCAAATAGGCATAAGTAGTATTACAGCTACTCAGCAATTAAAAAAGTGTTGGTGTTGAAGGATCTGGAGGCAAATAAGGTTGTGAGCCTTACATTCTGAGCTATCAAATGGAGTCATTACTGCATTTAGGATGCTCAAGTAACTGTTAGATTAACAGTTGAAAGTATGTAGCGATCCTAATTTTCTGACTTACCCCGTGATATGGAGTGCAATTCTGTGGTGCAAACCACCCAAATAATATAAGCTACTTACAGATAGAACAGTCTGGGTTTTGAGATATAGAGAACGTTGTTGGTGTAGCTTTTCAAATTCAGTAGACATCCTGACATACTAAGAGGCTATAAGAACATTATAATCCTTGATTTTCGAGCACACAGGTAGAGTTTTGGAGTGAACATTGGCAGATCATCTTTGGTCTAGTAGGCCTTTCTTCTTTAGATTTAGTAAGAGAACTGTGATCTAACACAGCATGATAAGTTAGATGTACCGACATAAATCCATATGAAATACTTTATGTTGTTCTAGATTTGGTCCAAGTAATTTGTTTAGGTAAATCTAATGTAATGAATTTCTTATTACAATGTAATGTAATGGATGGAAATACTGTTACACACACACCAAGAACTGAGCTATTACTAAGCTTTATGGATATTAACGAAAGTTTTCTCAGTGTTTATACTGTACAAGTGTAATTCTATGGAAAATAACTTTTCTAGTGACAAATGTATGAACTGTGATAGCAGTTTTATACCTTCATTGGATCTGGAACTCTGCTATGACAACCTGTGAATGGTGAGAAGCCTCATATGCATGTGATTTAGTGAATAAGCTCACCTGCAATTGCAGTGTAATGGCCTAGCACAGAGTTTGGTTATAAGAAATTGAGTTTGAGTTCTTAGGAAGCTTGTTAGAGTGATATGACCACTCTAAGTAGGGAATGTTTCGTTACGCAGAAGTGTAAGTATATAATGAGTTTGTAGAAGAGACGTTTAAGTTTCTGACAGCCTTCTAATATTTTTTCCAAGAAAAGATCTAGGAATGGAAATTCGGGTAAACTTTAACTATAGGAACTTTGCTGAACTTCTCACCTATCATAGGTTGAGTGACCTCTACATTTCCAAGGGTGAAGTTTGCTAAAAAAGAAATTGTCATGATGACTCTCCAGATTACCTGGCTAACTACTTTGGTGGAATAATTTTTGCTCTTGAAGACATTTGAGCCCATACACTGTCAGTAACTACCCCCCGCACTACAGATCAAGCCAGTTTTCTTCAGCTAGAATCCATAGTTTATAGCATCTGTACCTTTCATCGAAACACGAGCCCTGCCATCAAAAACATAATTTAGTTAGGTAGCATAAAGTAGTTTCACAGCATTCCTTCTACCTCCAGACAAGCCAATAGAAATGTAAGATGAAGTATTGAGATTGTTCTGTTATTGAAGGGTATGGTGAATCTATGTCACTCTTAGGGGACGTTAATACCTACCTTTAGTAAGACCTTAAGTGGTATTTCTAAAGCTCAAGAAGGCATATCAGCTAAAGGAGAATTGTTTCTTGAGGTTGTTGTTTTTTCTTATATGGCCCTGGAAAACACAAATTTGACTTAACGAGAGGCAAGAGTGAGTAACAGCTAGCTATAGCTATTGCTAGTATGGCATCAAGGAATATCTATAAAAGGCATTTTATAGTGAAAGGTCGTCAACAGAGAGGATTGACTATCAAAAACTAGCTTCCAGATAACTTGCTACCACTAAATACACCCTGAGAAGAACAACAGAGTACATCCAACAGATTTCAAGGATGGAAAAGAATATATCTGCGACCATGGAGATCTTTTTTTTTTCGTTGTGAGTGTCCAAGGAATCGAATACCTGATTGGAGAAAAAACAATATTATTTCTAGAACAAATATTGACCATGTAATATTCTGGAAGAAAAATTAAATATCACAGTAGACACAGAGATACGTGTCATGATTACATTGGAAACTGTTTCAATGGTGTTTTTTTTATCATTTCTTTGATAATAATCTCTTTTACTTTAGCTTATTATTCGTTGTTCACACATCTTTTCTCAATCACTTGGTTTCTTCCTTATTATGTTTCCCCAGTAAGTTGGCGGTAATTTCAGAAGCTTACAGCACTAAAATCCTAAGTTCGATTTCTCGTGGTGGACAGAGTTCAAAACCTATTGTGTAGTTTGCAATATAAAAACTAAACAACTTATTATGCATCTCATGCTCTAAAAGGGAAAAACCTTAAACTATTGTGTAAAATGAAATAACCCTCTGCGTAAAGTTTTTGTTCAAAGATCTTTTCTCACGTTACACAAACTTTAACAGTATGTTTAAATAAATAAAGGTGATTATTATAATATTTTTTTAGTTTTATTTGTGAGAACGCTCGTTTAAAATATTATAATATTTGTGAAAGCCACGATGGTTTTATATTTTAGCATTTGGCATTAAATATTTTGAAAGTGATTTTGTTAATGATTTTAAGAGGACGCTTGCTTACTACTAAACAGATTTAAAATGGCGGAAAACACCGAAAATTACGAATCTGATCCAGATAGTAGCAATTCTGCAGAAGATCGGTCAGACGACGAAGAGGTTGATCAAAACGATATTAATCGTTTGAATAGTGAGGTAAGTCATAAGGTTTATTAGCATTTAAGTTTGTAGCAACTATGATAACTCATGAACAGTATTTTAAAAGCTTTACAGCTCACACTTGTGACTGTGAGTCCTAATTCAAAGTAATTGACTATAGAGTAGTAATTTTAGTTTAGCTTATGCTATAGGCCTAACTTAATGTTTTTAGTATAACTATAAGGTTGTAGTTATGCAGGCTATACATATAGCCCTGATAGTAATAGTACAAGGCTCATTTGCTGTACCCCACTGTTTATGGTGTAAAGTGTGACTGAATTGTTAAACTTTACTTTCTTTAAAATTGAGAACATTTGAATGTATAATATATACAAATTTTTAGTCAAATGAACCACTTGTGAAACACTTGAAACTTCTTAACTGTTGACATTTCTGTTGACAGCATAATATATGACATACAATTTAGACAACAAAGGACCTACCTGTTGTTCCATCTAGGCCATCCCATGGTATACTAAACTCTAATATTAAGATAAAACATTCAAAGCCAGCTCTTATCATTCATGTATTTGTCAAGCCTTGCCTTAAGCTTCTTTAATGCATCTATCACATATGAAGGCAACCCATTCCAAAGGCCAAACACCCTGTAAGCACAATAAAGTTGTCTTACTTAGCTGAAGATGATTTCTACCCTGCCAAAATTTATACTTATATACCTTAGTCTTACCAATTTTCACTATTATGTATGTAAAAGGTGATGCATCAATACTTTCAATTCTCATGACAAACATAAACACCTCAATCAGATCCCCTCTAACTCTTCCTTTATCAAGAGAGAACAATTTCAGAGATCTTAACCTCTCCTCTTATGACAATCTTTCCATCCTAGTATCCCTCTTCTGAACCCTTTTCAACAATTCAACATCCTTCTTAAAGTAAGGAGCCCAAGACTAAACACAGTAATACAAAGGTGACATAAACAATGACCTTTACAATGAAATTATAACCTCTTTAGACTTTTATTCAATATTTCTGTAGATACAACCTAAAATCATATTTGCCCTACCATTAGCAACAGCACACAGCTTGGATGGCTTAGGAAACTGATCAACTACTACAAGATCCTTTTCTTCCATAACACTGTTAAGGTTATTCCCATTCAAATTATACTTATAACTCAAATTACAATAACCCACCTGCATTATGTGGCATTTATTATAATTAAAACCCATCTGCTATTTATTTGCCCAACTCTTATAATCTAAATCATTTCGTAAAGCAGCAGCATCCTCTTCACAGTTAGAAACACTTAAGACCCTAATAACATCAGAAAATATATGTAATTTATTGACCTTTACTTTATCTATATCATCAAAGGTTCTAAAATTGAGTCGTGACATAAATCCAACTTGACTGAACTCCAGTTATAACAACCTTCTGCTTTCTTCCACCTAGCAAGTTTTATCCAATGAACCAATGTATTCCCCACATCTAAAGAAAATTTTTTAAACTTTTTTCTCATGTGGCACCTTATCAAATGCATTTTGAAAATCCAGATACACCAAATCCACACCCGTACCCTCATCTACATAAGTAGTAACGTCTTCAAAGAATGTCAAAAGATTTGTAACACAAGATTTTTCTCCTAGAGAAACCATGCTGACTATCCAACAAAATTTTAAACTTTGTTAAATGACTTTGCAAAGCATCGTTTATCAGACTTTCAAAACTTTTGTCACCACTCATAAGACTAATAGGCCTATAATTAGTGGAACAATTTTTATCACCTCCCTTGAAAAGAATAACATTAGCCACCTTCCAATCTTGTGGCACATGCCCGCTGTTCAAGGACTTAGAAAAAATAGTTGTTGTCTCGTATATTAAATCCTTAACCTCCTTCAAAACACTTAAGTAAATATTATCTGGCCCAGGAGCTTTATCATTCTTTAAACTTCTCAATTATTTCATAACAAACTCAAAATTAATGTGATCATCATGTTCAGTCTTATTTATGAAGCTTTAAGCAATATTCTTCATCATGAACTCCATCTGTCAACAGTTCATGATGAATATTTCTTAAAGCTTTATTATTAAAAATTGAAGGAAAAGTACAATTTAATAACTCTTCCATCCCATAATTGTCAGATATTGGAAATCCTGTATCATCCTTCTAAGACCCACTCTCATCTTAATATTTTGCTTGCTTTTAACGTAAAGAAATCCTTACTATTAATTTTACATTTTCAGTGCCAACCTTTTTTCATATAGTTTTTTTTATTTCTTATTTGATCAACTCACTTGATCTTCTGTAATCCTTCAAATCTCCAGTTATTGTAGTAAATTTAAATTTTTTATATTTATAATGCTTTTCTTGAATTTTATCTTTCATACACTTTGTGAGACAACCTGGTTTTTTACTTGCATACATCTTTTTTTTCTATAATGAACATACCTATCTTGAATATTTATTTAAAAAATGTTTTTACATTTGCCAGTTAATTCAGATGCTCAGCTGGTCTTTCAAGGCTGTATTTGCATATCCACCTTTCAGAAAAGTAAAAATTTAAACCCACCATTTACTTTTCAGGAAATAATAGATTCCCATATTAAACGTGTGTAAAGTGCTGGCATTCACTAGTGCTGACAGCAACTCATTCCATAAATTAATCATCCTGTTCGAAATTTAAATTTGCAGAGCTGTAGCCTAACCTGTCTTTTCAAAATCTCAATTATGTCCTCTTGTACTTTTGTTTTCAGAATATATCACAAAGAGATGATAGGCCTGTAACTTATCAACATCTTGAATAACCCTGTAAACTTCAAAGATCACTACTTGCCTTCTTATCTTGACAAAATTAGTTAAGAGATATTAGCCTATTTATATGTGATAATCTTACCATCCCTCTGAATCCCTTTTCAGTAAGTCAGTATTTTTCCTTATGTTAAGAGATCAAATCCGTACATAACATTCCAAGTGAGGCCTAACTAATGATCTGAAAATGGATAGAATTACCTCTTTGGCTTAATTAGTATATCTGTCAATACATCTTCAAATTCTATTAGCTTTACTGCTAGCAACAGATCACTGCTACATTGGCTTGAGTGACTTTTCTACCAATATGCCAAGATAATTTTTATTAACCACACATGAGTTAGTTCCTACATTAAACATAGGATTCAAATTATGATAACCTTGGACTTGTTATAATTAAAGGTTATTTTCCAAATATTTGTCCAACCAATCATTTTGTATTATATCAACTTCTTCAGTGTCATCAGCAAATTTAATTATGCTGTCTCAGTATCATTAATGTAGATAAAAAAAAACAAAGGCTTAAGCACTGACCCCCTGGGGTACTCCTGTACTATCAAGGAACCAGTTGCACTGGAATCCATTGATAATAACGTTTTGTTCTGTCCCATACAACCACCTCTACAATCCAACTAACTTGTCTGTTTCAAACGTCTACAAATGTGATTTTGTTAATTAATCTTTTGTGTAACACCTTATCAAAATTTTTTTGAAAATCTAAGATTACCCAGTTTACAGTCTTTCCTTCACTCATATAACAAGAAAAGTCCTCAAAAAAAGGTGGCAGATTACTAATGCATTCTGTTGTTGATAGTGGGAAAACAGACAGGATCTTGATTTGGAATACTGAATATAAGTGAAAAGAGGTTATCATTTCTTTGTACAGATCTCTGATTGGCCTCATATAAAAAATTGTATTCAGTTTTGGACTCCTTAGGAAGGCTACCAGAATAATTCCTGCAATGGAGGGGGTTACATGAGGGCAGGTTAACATCTTTAAAATTATCCCATCTGAGAAAATAACTAAAGGGTTGGAGGGGATCTGATTGAATTATTCAAAATTATAAAGAGAATAGATGGAATTGATGCATCATCTTTTTTTCATGGGATGCAGGACAGAAAATGTGGGTTTCATGCATGGCTGCTTACAGTCAGGATGAGAATGCCTTGATACAAGGAAATTTTTTCCAACTAACTTGTTGATTATGCCATGATCTGGTCCAGTAGGGGAATAACAGGACATGGATGCAGTCAGTAGAAGTGCTTTTCTTTATGTTCAGATGGTAACTGACATTCACCAAGACTAAACCCCTTCTGTTGAGTAAGGCTTTGTTTTCGTAATTGCTTAACAGTGGAGGGGGTCACAAATAGATTATTATGTAAACTCTGATAGTAGAGTAACATCACTATCAGTTAGTCTACATCATGAATTATTGTCTGAAAATGTTCTAAAGCTCAAACTGCTTATGCCAAATGAACTTAGTTTTGTTTGATTCTGGACAAACTATAATATTGAAAGGATAAAGCACAAGAAATACTAGGTCATTAAAACTATCAAAATTGGATATGTTGTTTAAGACTTGTAACGTATGGGTATTCATAATTGTTAAGTTACATACATTGATGTTTACAATGTTAAATTTTTGATGTTATTATTAGTGAAAGATATTCTATTAGAGCCTTCCACAAACAAGTGAAACAAACTAGGCCCTAGTAAGAAGGGCAAAAGCTCAAAATAAAGAACAAAATTTAATGTAGTGTGTGTGTCAATGTAACTTGGAGCAATTTGTTTCACATTCTGTAAAATCGAGCCGTACACTTCAGCCAAATCATTATTTCCTATATTACTTTGAGATGCAATACATAAGATTTTGGTATTTTATTGATGTTCTGTTTAAAAATGCATGATATATAATTGCACTTAAACAGTGAATTTGTATATATTTTGTTCAAGTGAAAATACTTGATGATATATACCAAAGATATTATTATTCTAACATGTTACTGTTGTTAATTAGTCAGCAACAGAAAATAACTGTTATGTGAAACTTGGTATTTTGAACCAGCTATGTAACTATTACAGTGCAAATATATAACAAATTAGCATTGACATTTAACAGAAATGTTTATATTACATTGTGTTTGAATTACCAGTTTGGTTGGGACTTTGAAAATTCTGACACACACACACACACACTCATCTATAATAATAAAATGGTGGGTC